AACCAACCTGAATTAAGAGTAATATTAGTACAAGTAACAAAAAGAGACTGGGGCATAGAAAGTTAACACACCTTCAAAATTCAAGGTTACAGTTTTAAGTATTAAGGAAAATCTATATAACGAAAATATACAGGCATTGTTAAGATAGAAACTCTCCCGGATATTTCATGTCATTTCTGTCTAATATACTTCTATATTTTCCATGCGTTTCAGGGGCCTTGACTCATCGTCATTCGCAAATCTCTTCCAAGCGAACTACCAGATCAGTCTGGTAGTTTAGCCCTATTTTTTGGTACAATAGCGCATTATCGAATGTATTTAATTGCGGCGTTTACTTTCGACTTTTACAGTGTAAAATCCTTCAGCCGAGAATCCTTTCGAACATGTAAAGCGTGACACATTTGTAATGTCTACAATGCTTGAGTTTTGCTGAAATTTGTAGACTCACAGAATAGAGATGCTTGGAGGACCACGGCAATTCAGCAAGGAATTAACCGTTCTATGATGATGACAATGCCACTATCCGTCCTTCCTCGTCTACTTCCCTCTTCTCTCCCTCCTCGCTCTCCCCTCTCTTTTGCATTATATAAATACAGAAACACACACACATAAAATGCATGAAATCCAGTTATGTATTCTTCATGGTTATGGGCGACGTGAGATGGTCTTGGTCGGGTCAGTGAGAGGGGTTTTAGCTTGCTGGTTTATTTTGAAGATAGATATGGGACCCTTCAAGAAACCCCCGTGTCCCCGGGTGGAGGACGAAGTGGTGGAGCTGGACCCTGTGTGGCTTGGCTTGTCTGAGGTTTTTCTCTTCCTCCGTCTTACGAACGTGCCCTTTATGAGGTAGTTCCCTTCGAGGGCGGATGTTTATTCCCCTGCGAAAAGAGAAAGCCGGGCTGCATCTGCGTCCGCCCAAGGAGGAAAGGCAGCTGCCGGACAGAGGTCAACACAATCTGTATCTTTCTGTCAACACAATCGGTGTCTATTAACGTGCGTAACCATCTATCTACATAAACACCGATGTGTATTTACGTTTATCTGTCCACATGCACACATCCATGTACACTTGTTCTTCATGCAAAATACAATTTAGTTACAAGACTTTAGTTACAAATTTTGAAGCAATATCATGAATCGTATTAATGTTGTAAACACTGTAACTAGAAGCCATTAATAGGTGTCTCAATATACGTTAGCTTTGACTACCATATCCAATTATATATTCTGATCAAATGGGTAGTCTCATTATGTTTAGGTACTCAATGTTTACACCAATATCTCCTGTACTTGAGCGGTAAGTGTGGGTGTCAAACAAGTTAATGTGAATATGTAATTTAGGGCTGATCCACAGATTGTTACCGTGAGGTATTAGGGCGTATTTCGATTCTTTACGTAGAAAATGAATGAAGTTGTTCACACGAATGTTTTCTCTCTATGAAATTCGTCTTTTGTTCTATGGAAATAGATACTAAAACTCAGATCATAGCATTTCCGGAAAAGTGGTAGCTATCATCCAACGTAGTGAATTGCTAAGGTCGCATGTCTTCGATTTGTTTATTTTGATGAGAGGACAATCTAGGGTAATTTTTCAAATCTCGGAAATAATACTTTTGCTTATAATTTGGAATTGTAGTCGTCATTTTCTTTATGTGAAAGTAAAGGAAACATGTAAGTCACATACGATATTCGTTCTTTTATACTTCACTTCGGCTCATTTGCAGAACTACACTTCACACACATACACGTAAATACTACTGTCGATTCTTAACACATTCCACAATCTTCTGACAAAGCATCCACTTTTACATTACATTTCTTACACTCGTTCCTGAACGTACTAATCGAGTGGTGGCAGTGACCTCTTTACACCTTTTTGTGAGCCTGGAGATATTGTAAATAACATATAAAATACTTCATCAAGTTTAATTTCTACTTTGCATATACCACTTTGTTTAAGCCCAAATTTTATGGCTACGGATACATTACCTTCGCTTCCGCAGTCTTCCAAAAAAGGCTATCGATTGTTTCTTGTTTTCTGGAATGTAGACGGATTTCTGTAAAATTAGGGTGGTGGTTCCAACCTTGGAACAAGCTCGCTATAATGACACCATGCTATTAGTCCGTCTGCCAGTAACAAAAAAAAAAAAAAAAAAAAAAAAAAAAAGTATCGAGGGAGCAACTGTGTGTACAAGCCAGCAAAATACATTTAACATGTTAGGGTATATCTTGTAAATTTAAAATATTGTGAAATAATAAATAAACGAATTGCATAAGAATTCCTTTTTAATCACAATATTTAATCACAGATAATTTCTAAAGTAGACAAAGTCATCAATACAAAAATATGAATTCATAAAACCGTTTTAATTATTACTTTAATGGATAAGTAAGTACAAATTCGTGGTGAACAATTTCACAGACTAGAATAAGAGTAAATAAAAGATACGAGAGCTTTCTTGTAACAACTTCAACTTTACATTGATTTATGACTATTACTTTGCGAATAAAATTGTTACGTTCTTTCGGATGTTCGGATGGTAAGATCAGATTTTTCAGTTTCGGTGCTAGGTGTCATTTCCAATAATACCCGGCAACCCCATGATGACATAATCAATACAATTACTGTCAAGATATAAATTGGACCTACTGTGCCTGCATTGCAGTATGTTTCTGTATATTTGTCATTATGTCATCACACTCTCACTAAGACAAAGAAGCAAATATAAGCTTCAAATTGTTTACTTTTATGCTTTGTATTACAATAAATTGAGTTAGTAATCAAATAAGTATACTATCTTACAATTTAAACAAATTTACATTATATATATATCAAAATAATTGTTACTGTTATTAATGAAAGAATTGTTGTACCGGGTAAAGTCATCAGTATGCGAATATATATAGTTCACTACATTTATTCATTTTCAGTGAAAATGAATTATTATCAAGATTACGAAGAAAATACCTAACCCAATTGCTCCATTTGGCAAGAATACATGCCATGCCCACTGTAATACATTGTTATTTATTGGATTTGCACACAGATGGCTCTACAAGTGCTTAGTCACCAAGGTGTGTTATTAGTCCTACCTATCTTCCCTGTTTACCCTTTTCCACGATTTTTGGAAAGGGCCTTTTGCATTATTTCATTGTCTTATGTTACCAAGATTTTAACAGTTTAATAATCATAACATCAATACAATGATAACAGTATCGAAATCAGTTGTATTAAAAACACACTTTTCCGCCAATTCAAGAAATGGGGAAAGCAGGATCAGTAAGTAGGGTCTACTGATAGACTCCTTAATAGCAGACTGATAGACTCCTTAATAGCAGACTGATAGACTCCTTAGTACAGGGGGCAGAACATAAATCCGTGGCGGTTGGATTAAGTAAAGGGGCATTCATGGTAAGGGATTCTTTCATCGCAAAATTGAATACAGATTGAAATTATTTTATAAATAACTGTTTAGTCCTCACTGTTATCTTAATCATATTAATTTCAAATATGTTAAACAGTAACGGATGTCATTGCAGCTTTTTCATTGGGGGAAAGCAAGGGTACGTAGGTGAGCAAAGTAAAAAAAAAGAAAAAGAAAATATATATACATGTATATATATATATATATATATATATATATATATATATATATATATATATATATACTCACATACATATATACATATATATAACAAATCTGGGGGCATTTTTAAGCTACAACCGGACCTATATATGTGTAAAATATCCTGGGGGAGGGGGGGGAGCCAGATCTTAGGGGTAGTTCCCCTAAATAACGTTCCTGAATATTAAGACTAAATTATTAGTACACACCAAAAATACCAAATACAGGGACGTGGAAAGTCAACATACACGTAATTCCCTTTCCAACTTCATGAGTATTAAACCGTATGTATATAATGAGACTAATAAAAGGAATTAGTAAACTAAAAACTCTTCCGGTCATTTCATGTTTCACTTTATTAGAAAAACAAAATACATCCAATCTAAAACTTCAGTTAAGTTCTGATTTGACAAGAATTATTTTCAACAACAATCAGCGTGCGCCCGCACACATACAAATGGTATCTACCTATCTACATCTATGAACAAATGATTATGTCAATCAAATTAAACACACCTATATCTATACCTATCTGCACTGACATACGTGTATATCTATATCCACGCATGCATCTACATCTATCCGTCTACACACACACAAACACACACACACACACGTATGCATGTACACGTGTTCTCCATGCAAAATACTTTCTGCTTACACAGAGGAATGTAAACATAACGGATTGATAATTTAAATTCCACCTAGTTATTTCATATTTTGCTTTTCGAAACGATGCAATGCTACGTTTTAATCTGTCAAAGATTACTTTTGACAATGGTATCACCTGTGCGCTCGCACACATATACACATACTGCTATCTATACTTCTACACATATCCATATCTATATATCAACATACATCTATATCTAGTCAACACCCTTGTATATCATCCATAGGGTCTCTATATATCAACATACAAATATCAGTCTATAACACAAACAACCACACAACTTGACATCTCTGAGACTATTTTTCCACATACATCTATATATATCTACTGTATATATTTCTACACACACGCGCACGAGCATGTACGCCTGCCTTCCACACAATCCCATAAAAATAACATAGGGAAAACATAACACATCTACAAACATATCTACATCCACAAGAACAATCCTGGAACCAAGAAATTAATTCCGACAATTGGCATTTACTGCCCGATGGTAAGCATAAAAATGAAATAACAGTATAACTCACAAACACAATTTAAAAGCACTGGGAATTTTCGCTACAGAACTTCCTTTGACCTAACTTGTTACTGCCCGAGAAATAAGTACTCTGTCTCTCTTTACTTATTATTTGTATTGGCACTCACAATTATATATATATATATATATATATATATATATATATATATATATATATATATATATATATATATCCATAACCAACTTATTTGTGTTGAATTTTCTGCTTGCTATATTCACATCAATCTCCAAGATGCTAATTACGCACAGTAATTACTTTTGCGAATTTTCCCATTTACCTTCCGTAGTGAAGGTACTAGTTGTAACACTATCTGGGCACCTTTTCTATACTTTCCAAACTCCACATCTGACTTGTAATTTTTCTTCATAAAGTAACAACAACAACAATGATAATAATAATGATGATGATAATAATAATAATAATGCCTATATCTTAGTATAATCATTATGCCAGTTCTTACTTTAATCCACGACAGGAACATCCAAGTCTTTTTTTTTAATATTCTATTCAACCTCCTTCCCCTTGAGTCAACAGACACATATCTCCATCCCGAAATAGCCATCTACTCATATGTCCTTGCTGTTATATTTGCCCTTACTCATTCACAAGAATTCCTCATCCTCAATATATTATTTTTAACATATTTCAGACGAAAATCCTTATCCTACCATATCTACCCACTTATATATTTTTTTACTGGATACTAGCCGCTGACTTCTTAGACACATCCTAATAATATATCCATCCAGTCTTACATCCTTCTCGTTCTTAAGCCCGTGTTCTTATCCGTAGACAGGAACGCCCCAATCTTCCTTCACGAGATCGGCAGCTCGCTCGCCAATCATGATGGCCGCTGCGTTCGTGTTTCCCGACACCACCAGGGGCATGATAGAGGCATCCACAACACGAAGTCCGGTCACGCCCCGGAGTCTAGAGAGAGAGAGAGAGAGAGAGAGAAAGAGAGAGGTCATTTTTTTTTTCTTTTTTTTTCTTTTTTTTGTGGTGGGGAGTGAGGTATGTGTTGGGTGGGGTAACTAAGGTGGGTGGTTACGACTGGGGTGGGTGGTGATGACTGGGGTGAGTGGTAATGATTGGGGATGGTTGGTGATGACTGTGGTGGTATGGGGGTATAATGTGGTGGATGGTGATGACTGAAGATGATGATACATATAAAGTTTATGAGTATAACATTGGGTTTCTGGCGAGGAAATTTGATTTGACTCTCGTGTTGGTAATGAGGATGTGGTGGTGACTATGATGACAATGGTGGTGGTGATAGCAATGATGACTACTGAATGATGATGAAGCAAGTACAATGAAAAAAAATGAATAGTAACAACGATCTCAAGTAATCAGAATACTATGTAAATCAATGAATAAAAATAAAACACACAAAACTCACCGAAGTCTGTGATCCACTACGCTGTAAGGGTCAGATTCGGGCCCCATTTTGCACGTTCCAGCGGGGTGGTACGAAGTGTGGGTGAAATACCGGACATAACACTCCCAGTACGCGTCAGTGTAGGGTTTGTTGTACGCGCATTCTGGCAACACCTGTTTGGAGGATCGTTGTTATATAGATATATAGATAGATAGATATAGATAGATATACTCTTTTTTAACTTTTTTTTATAAAAGTATTTTTTAAATATATTGTATGCTATCGTTTCGGTAACTTTGAACATTGTATTATATATATATATATTATACATATATGCATATACTCTTGTGTGTTATATATACTTTATATATATGCATGTGTGTATGTTATATATACTTTATATATATGCATGTGTGTATGTTATATATATATATATATATATATATATATATATATATATATATATATATGTATATATATATATATATATATATATATATATATATATATATATATATAAATACACACACACACACACACACACACACACACACACACACACACATATATATATATATATATATATATATATATATATATATTATACATATATACATGTGTGTGTTTCTCAATTTTATGTAAGTACTGGAATTTAATACAAAACGCAGAATCGAATACCTTATCATGGAATTTGGCCCCGTGTTCTTGCCTCAGTGCTGGCGCCGATCCCACTTCCAGTGCGAATTTTACTCCTAAAATCGTCAAAAGTCGTATCAGTTAAAAATATTTATCTATATATAGTAATAAAATAAGAATAATAAATGAACAGAAAAGTAAATAAATTAAAATGTTATTCTAGGCTATTATGATTTTACATCATTTGTATGAAGAATATATATATATATATATATATATATATATATATATATATATATATATATATATATATATATATATATTTATATATATATATATTTATATATATATATATATATATATATATATATATAAATATTTAAAGAATAAAGAAAAAAATAACTATGCAATGCAGCTCACATAAATAAAACAAAACATACAAAAAAACTGACTCTTACCTACAATAACAATAAAAAAAAAATGTCTCTTACCTAAAAGAAGAAGAAGGAGAAGAAAATAGAAAATAATCACAGACCTCTAACAAGAATAGCAGCATCGTCAGGATGAGCGAGGAAGTTGGTGTCTATGAGCGGGTCGTCCAGAGGGTCACGTGACCGAAGAGTGACTGACCCCCTGCTCTTCGGACGGGCGATGAGGGGCACGAGGGAGAAACCTTCTTGGCCAAGGATCGGTTTGTAGAAATTCATGAACAGCTTTTTTGGGGGGAGAAAACGGTGGTTAATTGGAGAGGGGGGGGAGGGATTTATATATTTTATTTACTGATTTGTTTATTTATCTATTGTTTTCAGGGTGTATGGTTATGATTATTTGGCTTGATGTGTCGGTTTTTTCTGTCTTCCCTTAATTTTCTGGCTCAATTCTGCGTATTTATGTTTCTAACGAACATTGTAGGATAGAAACACTAATACTAACTTACGGTTATCACAATAATAAGTCAGGAAAACAACTAAAAACCGCAAAATTTAATATACGAGGTAATCGATTTTCCCAACTGGAACCTAGGCCTACCGTACCTCCTGCCTGAATCGAAAGGTTCCTGGAACAATGAGGCCGTAATCTGTCGCCGGGGTTCCTGAGACAAAGGCCAGCTGTAACTCGGGCCAGTATGGATCTCCAATGGGGGAAGGTGGCCATGCGTTTCCCTCTGTACCCACGGGCGAGGTGAGGGGGCCTGAAATAAAAGGGGGAAGTGAAGGAGAAATGTGATGATATTTATGCATTTACATAAATCTTATTAGCTATAATAATTTATTGAGTTATCTAATCTGCAAATAGCATAAAAAAGAGAGGCTTGTCGTGTGAACATGTGAGCTTAAAAGGTAAATAACAGAACGATCTTCCCAGGACACGATACCTTGTCTGTTCTTGACGTAATCCAAAATATGCTTGGGATTGGCGAGGGACAAGTAGTTGAACGAAGAACCTTTGGTGACAGTCCAAGCGAGTCCAGGTACATTAGGGTGATCTTGAAGGTTCTGCCCAACGCCGTGGAGATCTACAACTACGGGGATCTGAGAGAATCACGAGGAATTGGAAATTAGTATTTTTTTCTTTTAATTTTAGTTTGATTTTCAGAATTGCTGCTGGTTCAAAGTTTTCAAATGGATTTTCTGGTTTGTTAAGTAGATGTTATAAAAGCCGAGGATAGTTTGGGAAATGAAAATATAATGGAAAATGAAATGAAAAATAATCATAATGGCTTTTTAAAAATCCTGATTTTGTCCTTTAAACAGTTGGTACATGGATGGTATGAACTACTTTTGTAGCTGAATGAGTTTTGTTGTTGCGCTAGGGCACTGGTGAAGAACAGGAACTACATATTGGTATGAAGATGGGATCTAGGTGGATTTCGAAACTACTGTCTCATTATCAATATATAAAGTTTGTGCACTGTGTAGTTTTCTACCATAATGGTATGAAGTAATAATGAGAATACTGTACTTTTAAGAAATCACACCAGCATGATAACAGTACTCGTGCGTGCACTGATAAGTCGCCTTATCTTTTCTAACTCACGCCATGCTCCTTCAGGTGATGGGCTGGACCGACTCCCGAAAGCAAAAGCAAGTGAGGTGACCCAATTGCACCTGCTGACATGATCACTTCTCGAGATGCAAGAGCTGTTTTCACCTGGAATAAAAATGAGTGTCCTTTTAACCACCCAAACTACTCGCCATTTGCCTCCAAGGACGTATATGACATTATCTATCGTTCAATGTCGAATAACGCGTTATCGGTGACGTTGTAAGCTTAACGGTTAAAAGTTCTTTTATATATTCATCATCTGTATAGAGAAAGCGTATGGCCTTCTTACCTTTCCATGATGTAAAAACTTTACTCCAGTAGCTTTCCTGTTGCTGTTGAAAAGAACCTGAACGAACAAATTTGTGAAGTAATGAATAATAAGAGCAGTTTATACAACCGTTTAATATCAAAATCAAGGAACATCTAGGCATTGGAAAGACAAAATCAAGACATGATATTACACATACCAGACAACAATACAAATATTACAAGGAAAATAATAACTACAGCAACATCAACATACGAGAAAGATATTTTACCTGTGTTACTTGCGCATCTACAAGGACGTGCAGATTCGGTCTCGTCTTGGCCGCGGGTTTCACATAAGCCTCGGCCGTGGACCAACGCTGGCCATTCCTCGCTGTCAGGTCGATCTCGGAGAAACCTGGAGGAGGAGGGAAGAGCATTGTTGGGCTTTGTTATTTATGGTGGTGGTAATTGTGTGTGTGTGTGTGTGTGTGTGTGTGTGTGTGTGTGTGTGTGTGTGTGTGTGTGTGTGTGTGTGTGTGTGTGTGTGTGTGTGTGTGTGTGTGTGTGTGTGTGTGTGTGTGTGTGTGTGTCTGTCTGTCTGTCTTACACAAGTCTGAAATTATGACTATTTGTGCTAGTTAATAACACCCTAAAATATTTGTGTCTCCCCTGAAAATCATGTTTTATCCTAATAGAAAATGTACATCCTACAGTAAGGGGGTAACAATAATACTCTAAATCCATTTTTTCAAACCTTAAAACAAACCATACATCCCATTTTAAGGCGTATCAAACTGTCCCATCTCATAAAATCCTAGTCCTTATAATGAAACATTCGCTCACCTAT